AGCACTTCTTCAAGGATTGGCGGACAAGATTTACAGTGCGTCTAGCAAAGAGCAAATCCAGTTTGAAGCAGGTTTCACGGTTTTGTGCGTTGAGTTCGTATGTTGTTCCGTCGCAGTCTATTCTTTTCTGTAAGTGGTAATGATATGTCGTGTGAAGTTACCCTCTAAGTCTGTAGAGATGGCCTGAGCGCACCACCTCCACAAACATTTCTCTCTGCTGTGGTCTATTTATAAAGTTATCCTCTTGAGTATGACCCTTTAAACCTTGAGAATTATGGTTTCATTTTATAATGTGCATTTGTAATATGAGCTGCATTCAAAACCTATGCATTTCCCAAATTTGAAATTGGTAGATTTATGACTCCAATAACTCATTTAAATCTTTGATGTTATTAAAGTTACAGTTTTTTCTTATTGTTTACTACAAAAACATTAATCATAATTTCAAGTGTGTGACAGACGGACTGTTGCACTGTACAGTTCTTGTTTGGCATTCAAGACTGAGTAAGACCTAGTTTGGACCAAGTCTGTTCCAGGTCTCGTGTTTTGGTAAAGGTTATATTAAAAGGACAGTGTTAGGATTTAGTAGCACCTAGCAGTGGCTTGCATATTGCACAAAGTAACTGCCAGGAGAAAACAGTGGTCTGCAAAACTTGAGCTTAGAGCAGTGGGTTGGTTGTCTGTTCTGGCTATATAGAAAATGGCAGCTCACACTGCCGCCTCCTAATGAGGAGCACCCTCTGTAGATAAAAATGTGCTCATTCTAAGGCTGATGAAACCCAGTGATTATACACTAATGAAAAATACGTTCTGTCATTTATTCCATTTCTTCCAATATATCCTCCTAAATGTTACACCACGGACCTTCATAGGTAAACTAGTATTTTTTATTAATATATTATTATTTATATTATTATACAAATCATAATTTTTGTAGGTTCTATTTAGTTCTGTTGGTCATGGATGAACATTGCACAATCCCACAGTCACTGCATCTAAAACAGTGTTCACAGACCGGGGAGCTCGGCCTCCTCTTTATGGCAATGGCTAAACTTTTTGTTTCAGTATGTTTTTTTTCAGCTTTATGCTGACAACATCATTGAATATTGGTTCATTGGAGTTTGATTTGTAAGGGTAGCCAGAAGTGTTCAAATCTACTGGACTGGCCCAGAAGCCAGCTCCTTCAAAACTTCGTTTTTTTAATCTGTTTTCGGCTTTATTGCTGAAAAAACGTATACTCAAGAGAGCAATAGCCAGTCATTGAGAAAGAAGCTTAGATTCAGCATTTAAGAGCAGTTACTTTGAGATGGATCCACCCAGCCAGATCATCATTTTTTTCTGCTGAAATGTAATAATATCATATCTGCTGATGTACTACAGATATATTTCCACTGGGGTATATGTGTCAAATATATGTGATAGAAATAACTGTTTACATGCTGATTATTTACTTATTCCATTATTCTAGAAATTTACGGAATGTATTCTTTTTCGTGTACATAAAGGCCCGAACTTTCATTTCATTAACACAACCTAAAAAAAAAGTGTAGAAATGAAATTCCTTGATTCTTATAAGAAGGGTTCTTGGGTTACAGCAGTGTGCGAGTAATGTTTGGTCCGATTTGTGTTGACATTTCTAAAGAGGACTCCTTAACACAAACTATTGACAGGTTGAGAGGGACTTGCTGCAACATAGTATTTAAGCAATAAGCATGACTCCAATAAGCTCAAATACCACAGGTTCACAATCCATTCCGCTGCCCTTGCTCTGCCATAATTTTTTCCACCTCTCCTCCCTCTGCTTCACTCTCCTCTGCGGCCACTCCCACTCATCATTTTTGGTGCATAGCTGTCAACCCTGTTGCACCTGTGCACTCAGGTGCTCCTCTCAGTAATCAACGCCACTATTTAAGCCTCTCTGTCACACCACTTGTCTGCAGATTTTTTGGCTCCATGCAAGACTCTCCAGCAGTTTCCCTTTGGGACGATTCCTCGTTGCTGACCCTGCTCTCGTAACCCTGCTCCGTCGTATCTCCCGGTAAGACCTATTCAGCTTCTGTAGCCGACACAATCCTCTTCTTAACATTCCTGGTGTTTGGCCTGACCGGCGTGTGGCATCCGGCTGCTAACACGTTTGACTGCACACTGCTGACTTGGTACGGACGGCAGGTCAAAATCTCAGCTCAAGAGACTCTTAGATTACCTCTTTTGGATACGCATTACCTTTTTTCCTTTTCTGTATAATAGATCATTCAGAGAAGAATCAAAGACTCTTTGCGCTAAACGATCCTGCTGGTTTGGGTTACTGCCAAATTCGGTCCCACACACCCTTACAAGAACATTACAACAATCAGTGTACATGCTCGATGCCAGCTGTCTGTCTCTTTCTGCTTGTGGGTGACTTTTTTTCCATCACAGTCCCCCCTTATTGTGGTGGACTGGCTCTTTGTTTGTAGCTCGTTACCAAAAACTCAGGCCTTTAAAAACAACCGCATTGCAGTCTACTGTTCTGTCTACTCACTGTCACCTGCCGAGATGAATCCGACAGGTAGATCCTGACGCATTAAGTTACTAGATAACATTGTTAACAGTAATTTCATCAAATATGTGGCCTTTACACATCCACATAAGTAAATGAGAGAATGGGCTGTTTTCCAGTGACTCCCAAAATAAAATCTATGACCCAACCTTCACTGCCATTTATTAGCAAGAAACTGTCCCTTACTCAAGTGGAAATCTAGTCCATCCATCTCTCAGTGGCTCTGGGATGTGGTTTTTTTTTTTTTTTTTAAAGTGGCAAACTATAACTGAACATTTTTTGGAAATTGCAACCCTTTCTTCTATCTCCTTTCCCTATTTCTTTCCTTCTAATTATAATAGTGTTGCTTGAGTGTATGTGAACCTCCTGAGTTTTCTAGTTTTACCACTGTTTCTTTAATCAGATCCAGTATTTTTATATGAAATAACAGGTGTTTATATCAATTCCATATACTTTTTGAGGAAATTGTCATCAAAAGACAAATTTAAGTAAAATTTTGTGAACCCTGAGCTGCATTACTTAAAACAAGCCGGTAAATACAATCAGGTGTCACAAAATTGTTGTATAAAATGAGACTTCTTTAGTGAAGCACTGGTTGAAATGAGACCAAACCAGGTCAGTTTAGTCCCTCACACTGAACCCATACAGGTCAATCATGCCAAGACAAAAATAAATCTTAGAGGACCTCAGGAAGAGGGTAGAAACAGTACATTTGTCCGAGAAAAGCTATACATTCATCCCAAACAAATCCAACTCAATCAACACGGTTTTAATGGAAGGGGTTGTTAGGAACAAGCCTCTGCTCACAAAAAAGAGAGCTGCACCTGGAGAAACTTAAAGCTTTCTGGAAGTCCATTCTGTGGACAGATGAATCTAAAAGTTAACTGTCACAACCAAAACCACTGTGTGGCGAAGTCTACACTGCAGACCACCAAAAGAACCTTCTCCCAATAGTTAAGCATGGTGGTGTGAATGTTAACCTGGACAACTCCACATAGTCCAGAGAATCAGTAATTCTAAGGAATATTGTAAAATCCTTGAAAATGAGCTCAAGCAAGCTTGGCTGAAAATGGATCATACAACATGATAATGATCCAAAACATTCCAGCAAAACAACCAAAACTGGATTGGCCCAGTCAAAGTCCAAACCTGATTCCAATTTAAATGCTGTGGTGGGACCTGAAGCGAGCAGTCCATGCCAGACCTCTCCAACCAATATGGGTGGTAATGAGACACTTGCACAGCCAGTACAACCGTATATTTGGGGAGAGTCTGGAGGCAGCTCCTATGCTCTTTCTCCCGCAAGATTAAAGTTTCCTAAATAATGTATGAATTTTATCAGCGTGGGGATGAGAGTAAAATAGCTCATCGTGGGTGTAAACTACTTTGAGACAATTCTAATCAGCATGTGCATAAAAAGCAGGGCCTAACAGAAAATGTTTGGGAACCACTGTAATTTTTCATTCTTGCATCTGAAATCGGGGGAAGAAGACAGTTTTTCAGTCAGAAAACAAGCAAATGGCAATATAATGCAGCATGCTGTCAGGGAGAGGGTATTTATTTATATTTCATTTCCTTATGTTTCAGTGCAGAGCCAGAGTTGACCTCACTTAGTTCAATCACTGTGTCTATTGGTATTTTTTTAGTTCATTTCTTTTCCTTTTCTACAAAAATTGTAGCATGAGTCACACTGTTTTTAAAAGGATTGCTTTTAAAGTTTTTTTTGTTTTGGTATAGGAAGGATGAGAATTTGTGCTGTCACAGGATTTTACCTAGGGACACTGTTGTCTAGTGTGATGTATGCATGTGTTGTCAGTGGCATAGACACAGAATTCATGGACGCTGCTTTGGCCACTTCGGCTTGTTGCTGGGAAACGTCTCATTTATGGTGGCACTAATCTTAATCTTGACGTTATATTGCCTACAGGGAGTAGATGGACAGCAGAAAAGCCCACGAGCAATTTACTCGAGTTGATATAGAAAAAAACTATAAAAGTAGAGAAGCCATATTTACACTGGTTCTGTCTGTAGTTACAACCAGTTACAACCACAGCACGCCTGCTAATCTCAACTCAAGTAAACCGCACTGCTTTCTGTCTGCTCTGTGTGTGATGAGAGAGATAGATAGATAGATAGATAGATAGATAGATAGATACAATGAATTATTTTCCAACACGCAAATAATTAAATTACACATACATTTATAAATATCATCTTTATCCTTGTCTGACTTCCTGAAAATAATAATAGCACAGAGATGCTTTTATACCCTGAACTGTGGTTGGCCAAGCTACAACCTCTGGCTATGACCTTTACTGATGACCCTTCAGCTGCCGAGGGCCGCGGACTTGGACAATCTGACAATATGAAGGTGATGAGGAGCAGGAGAAGAGTGCAGCAGCCAGGAGCGTGAAGCAACCTTTGGTTTAGGAAATGTCAATACAGGGTGATGGAGCAGTACCTGCAGACTTCCAACAGTGGAGTAGGCTGCGTAGGAGAAGCGCTGTTTCGGGAGGTCACTGGGTCCACGCTGGTCGCACGGGATGCCGTTTGGCAGGAAACACTGGTGACTAGACCTGTCAGTGATGGTGTTGGGTGTAGAACCGGGCAGGCTAAGCAGAACAGTGTGATTGGAAAGACGGACATCCGTCAAACCGAGTCCCACCCACTGCCTGTAGAGGTACCTGGCTCTGGCCTCCTCGCTGTCATCCGATAGACTGGAGAAAGACCTGGAAAACAACAACAATAAAAAAACATATTATGGTATTATTTATTTAACTTTATATTTATTAAAGTTTAACACTAACAAACTAAACTGCTTCATCAGGACTGTGTGGGTGTGATTCGATCACATTTTACTAATGACAAACCCACTAACTGTCACCAAGTTTGTGAAATAAGCAAAAGTGAATAGTGTGTTTTTGTGGGACCCCATTGCTCATAGTAAGAAGCTGCTGGAGAAAATATAATTGGAATTAATTTGTTGGTGATGTCAGATTAAAAGCTTTTTTTTATTGGCTTGGAGGTTTGTGTAATTTTGAGGAAAATTTAATTTATTTTCAATCTTTTAACACTTTTTTTTCAATAGATTGGTGCCCTAAACCTGTGAATAGGATTTATTGTAAAGTCTTAGCCAACACATTCTTACTCCCAACTCAATGCTTGGTCAGTGGACCTCACTTCAAAATATGCGCCATTTCTGCAAACTTACTTAAGACTTACTTACATAAGAAATCACTGACTTTTGCTTTCACATGACACAGTAACAGCGGTCTCTTGGGTTCAAGTCCTGTGTTTGTTTGAGCCATCCATCCACCACACCACCTTAATATATGCTGACTTTCTCACTCTTTATACTACATCACCTGACTGCCTTCAACGAGTGGGACACGTCCAGAAATGGCC